CTGAGAAAATAAGCAAACAAACAAACAAAAAATCTCAGAGTTTTAGTAGTATATAGATAGATTCTTCAAGATTATGTTTTTTGTCATCTTATGCCCTTTAATGAAGATGGGAACATTGACAGGGAAATAATATAATAGCCAATGCTCGCCGAGAGGTTTCATTTATAAAATTTTGTTGTTGTTCTCGACTTGATTTGTATTTTATTACCTGGTCTCTATAGTTACAATTTGCAAATAGTCAATAATATTGTAGGTCCATTTTATTGTTGTTATTTCTACGCGCCGTTATAATACATTTTCGTCTTATATTGCTGTATAGAAGATATTTTAAGGTGATTCATCAGGTGGAAAACGAAGTTTTATAGCAATGGAATGTACGAAAAGTGACTCGAAAAACGGCGCTAACTCGGTAATTCGTGGCCCGATTTTAACGAAACTTGTTTTATTATGTTTATATTCTCATTTTTATTCTCATTTCATTACAAATATGGTGCTATTGTGCATCGTTTTTGCTATATTTAATTACAATCAAGCACACAAACAAACAATCTCAAAGTTTTAGTAGTACATAGATAGTGTTACGTCTCCGTTTGTTAATTAATTTTCCGTAACTTCGTTCCGACTGAAACTTTAGCGACACAAGCCCTTACTTAATAAAACTGGTTTATTCTTTCTGAATATAACTTCACGATACACTTGATTTCAACATTCGCGCTAAAACAACCGCTAAAACGAACGATAACTTCAACAACACTTTCTCACTGCAGATCAATTTCTCACTACCTACACACATTGTTGTCCGTCACGTTGTGAGCGTCTTATATATATACCAGACAAACATATATCTAGTAAATGCTAGGGCATTCACGAAGGTTCGAGAGAAGTGGCGTGACACTAGTCACGTGACCTCGTTGACGCAACAATAGATATTAGGCCTATTGGTTTCCAGTGCTTCGCCATCTATAGACATTTAAACCGTAACTTTTAAAGCTTTTCAAGCGTACATAAATAATCATTTTTCCTACACAATGGGCTATCTTTGCTCTGCCCACCACGGGTATTGAAACTCCATTTTCTAGCGTTGTAAGTTCTCAGACATATCGCTGTGCCATTTGAGGGCGTAGATAAATAAAATACTAGAGAATTAACAATAGGCCTTTTGGGCAGTGACTTTCGGGGGGTGGTAGAAATGTTAACCTGAAATAGTATTTTTACATACCTATTATTTGCATTGCAAAATGGACAAATTAAGAGTATGTGTTTGTTGATAAGCGCAGATCTACACCAAGGATAATCTATGCTTGCCCGTAGTGGGTATTGAAACTCAATTTTTAGTGTGACAAGCCTTCAGACTTACTGGACAGCCATAGAAGTGGGGGTGCAAGACGAATGTGAGGGGGAAAATATCTGCAGTTTATGTAATTTTTTATCAGAAATGTTAGATCTATTGGTTTCGAATGCTTCCCGTATTTGACCTTTAAACCATATGTTTTAAAGTTTTATGCTGCATATATGAATAGTGTTTTAGGGAAATCTTATGTCTCGTCTCTCGTCCAACTGACGAGTTTTTTTATTGAATGAAGGGTCTCTTGTGGAAGACAAAAAATAAATCAGAAATGCTGTTTATATTTGGAATCTGATATGGATAAATTAAGACTCGGGTGAAGAGGGTGGAATGCAGTATATATGATTTTTGGGTATTTTCCGTTTGGTGCCCATCAACAGATCGTTTTGAAAATAACACCAGTAATGCAATAAAATAAAATAATTATTAACAAAACATTATATGATATTTATTTAGCGAATTCTGTAATATTAAACAATATGTTTTTGAATAAATCTTCATCTTTGTTTCTATTTCTCCAGTCCCCCAGTGGCACAGCGGTATGTCTGCGGATTTACAACAATAGAATCCACGTTTCGATACCCATGGTGGGCAGAGCACAGATAGCCCATTGTGTAGCTTTGTGCTTAATTACAAACAAACAAACAAAACTATTTCTCCATATAAATTCACAAAGATAAGAGTCAAGCATTTGGCGACGAGTTCCGTATTGACGCTTTTGTACTGTTGGTGGGCACCAAACGGTAAATATCCTGATATTTTATTTGTTTCCAATAATTCGGCAATATTTTAACGTTTAAACGGCCACGATCATGGTTTAACTTAAGGACTGGACTTTTTTTTTTAAATCTTTTTCTGTTTTTATCATCTCGTAGTTTCGTAGAACTCGTAGAAATTACTATCGGTGAAGTGTAGAAAAGTATTGGGCGTAAAGTTTGAGTTTATAACGTAAAACAATCCTTAATATAAACATGTATACACACATTTCCTTTAAAAAATCATAATTTAACAGGACTAAATTGCTGAAGCTTCTATATGTCGTATCTAAGTTCGTTTTGTTTTCAGGTGCTGGCTAGCGACGCTAGTAATCGATTGGTGACGTTCGAGTACCACGTGATTTACAGTATCAGTTATTCCGTTCCTGTTTTGTACTTCACAGCTTGGAGACAAGGTAGATGGATGGTTTGATAAATTTGATAAACACGTAAAAACAAAACTGTATGTAATATGAGTCAACATTGAAAATTGCTAAATGGTAGCACCAGATTGGCAAAATACGGTACATGTAATAAAAGTTGAATTAAAAAACTAGTACTAAGCTATAATTCATTAAATATTGCCGAACGGGAAAATTAACGCTAATTAAAAAAAAGAAAGAAAGGTAACAAGAAAGAAATTATGAATATAAAATTAGGTTGATAGAAAATAAAGCAAGGTGATCGTAAAATATGGTTCAGTAAGAATTTTAATTTACCGTGAAATATAATTTTTGAGACGTACATATAAAATACAAATTAGGCCTAATTGTTGTTCCCTGGTGGACTATTTAGTGTTTCCGTATAGTCGTATGCTACTGTTTTATTTATAAACACCGAAGATGTTCAGCAACATTCCAAGTAATTTGCTAAATGTCATAGGTCATTAAGATCGATTAAAATACCTTCTCGTACAGATTCTCCGAGTAAAGCAAGGTATGCGAGTCGTCGTATACCTACGCACAATTGCAATTAGTTATATTTAAAACAATGCCGTAATTAATAATTGAAAATTCAAGCCATATTTTCTTTGTGTGTTTACGCCTCACACAGAGACGCTTTACATTGATTTATGGTGTCAAAATTTTATCGGAGTAGAGTAGTTACTTTTCAAGCACGCAAGTTGAGTAAATATCACAGATTAATAATATCGGTAATTTTAAGATTCGTACTTGTTTGACTGAAGATGGTTGTGTTTATTAGATAAATTACCTTATGTATTGTTCACCGAGTCGACTTTTAACAACAAACTTAATGAATTTATATTTTTCTAAGTATTGTATTGGATTTGAAATTTGTCGAATTTCTCTTAATTTGATGGGTTGAGAAGCTTTGGTTTTAGACACTTTGAGTGCGGATTGGCCCTGTGGTAAAGCTCTGGATTTCGAAGCTGGCGAACGCGTAGATACCAGAAAATATTTCTCAAAATGTAATCTGTGAGTGCGTAAAAGGAGTGACAGTCAATCCCAGCGTGGATGGTGGGTATTAGGGTGCAGTTGACTGGCTGCCTTCCCTCTGGTCAGTAGTCAGTAGTTCGAAATGAGGGGCATTCGACTGGCTGCCTTTCCTCTGGTCGGTGGTTCGAAATGAGGGATGGCGGCAGGTAGCCTTAGTATTTTTGCCATAAAATACCAATAAAAACTTTTTTCAGGGTGTAAGCATCGAGTTACAGCTTTAATATAATTTACACTTGAACAAGTTCATCGAATTAACCATTGTCGTTTCAAAAAAAAATGTTGAACTTTCTGCTGGCTGCTGGTGTACAAGCTTTCTTCCACTCAAGGCTTTATAGTTCAAGTTCTCAAGTTTCGTTTTTCTGCTAAACAATAGGACTCTTTACGAATTATACATCTTTTATTAAATGCCAGTTCTCAGAAAAGACTTCTGTTTGAATTAAATTCATATACTTCTTACCAGCACGATTTTACTGGTTACACCACCCGTCCTGTGCCCAAAGGATACTGCCTCAATAGGGGTCCTCAGGCAAGAGGGAGGGGAAGGATAGCAACAACGATGTCACCTGTGACGATGACGTCATAGTTCCAAAGTGTCACCAGAGGCCGTATTGCTAGGACAGGCAAAAGACAGAGAGAGCGTTGCAGGGCGTGAAGTTATAGTTCCACGATGTGGAACTAGAAGGAGCTAGCGTCATGAAAACGGAAGTTTTCGAGAGAACGGGTTGTTGGGGGCATGTTGTTAGACCACCATGACAAGCGGAAGTTATCTGGAAAGTTTGCAACAAAGTGGCACCAGACGGCACATTGGTGTGATGTAGCTCAACATGACATTATAGTAATAAAGTATCAAAACTAATAATTTAATCTAATTTCATACATATATATATGTTTGTGTGTGTGTGTTTACAGTTTAGCTTTATAAAGGCTGACAGTCCTGTAGAGCTACATACAGGTCTCAGCTTATGTTTTCATTCATACATCTATTTGTATTACATGTGTTTTACAAAGGCAGACAATGTTACTAAGAATAGTGTTTTTATAGATGGAGGATGATGAGCTCTAATTAAATCTAGACATTGTTGACATGTTGAGATAATGAGCTCATCATTCTCAGTTTGTAGAAACACTAGTCTTAGTAATACCATCTGTATGTGTGTGTGACCACATGACGACCTATGTACTTCTTAACAAGTAAGGTTTAGCGAGCTTGGAAGTGGTCTTGATGTCGGACAGTATAGATGTAATTACATGTAAAATTATTATTGATTTAACATAATAAACGTTATCGTTAGTAATGATAACATCTTTGGCCCATAGAAATTGTAAAACTTATGTAAGTGAAATGACATATTTTGTTAAGAACATAGTTATATGGTTGAAAACAAACTAGTTAAAGTGCATGATATTTAAATAAGAGTCGTTTTCAGAACAATAACTGTAAAAAGTGTGCTTAAATATAGAAACTAAAACTATAATCAGTAAGTTCAATCAAAATCGGTTGTGTATTTTTTGTCCTTTATCACAAGAAACAACAAAAGGAAATATTTTGTCAAGAAGATGATTATATTTATTAAGACAAACTTGCGAAACAGTAAGATTTTCGTAAGTTTGCCTTTTAAATAAGTGTCCTTTTCGGGATGATAAATGATTTGCATATAAAAGATCAGCAAATTTAAAAGTATGATTAAATATAGCACTAATGAATTAGTGAAGTGTTTTTTTATACATAAAGTGACTACATTGCCCTTAGATCATAAGTAAATCTAGCCATTGATTACATGTTGAGACACATTGAGAAATCTATGATGAAATCATCACTATTTTGGTTCCACTTCATGGAACTATGACATCATCGTCTCTGACGTTCAGTTGTAATGGCGGCCTAACACCGTGTCCCAAGAAGAACTGTTGAACTTGGACTTACAACAAAAAAGTATTGAAAGGACCATATTCGTCTGTCGGTGGACAATATTTTATGCTTATTATGGTTGTTAATATGTGCCGAAACGAAAACTATTATCTAAATTTGGATTCCCCAAAGATGTTAATGATATGTTTGTTCATGATTTTGTTGCAAAACGTTTTCATGTAAATATGCCCTTAGTAGATATGTATTTTTATGTAGATCAGGTTATAAAATCTTTATTGTGAAAATAATAAAGTGTTAAAAAAGAATTATCGTGTTACATTATACCAATAAAAGATTTACATATAATTAAATATAGACGTCCATCACATGTTGAGACAATGAGCTCATCATCCTCCATCTATAAAAATACTATTCTTAGTAACATTGTCCACCTTTGTAAAACACATGTAATATAAATAGATGTATAAATGAAAACATAAGTAAACTGTATGTAGCTCTACAGGACTGTCAGCTTTTGTAAGTTGTATTTAATGATTTACTTATAAAGCTCAACTGTAAACACATATATATGAAATTAGATTAAATTATTAGTTTTAATACTTTATTGCTATAATCTCATGTTGATCTACATCATACATCAGAAAGTGTTTGATAAGACTCCTCACAAAAGTCTTGTTACAAAAATTAAATCTGTGGGTGTGGGGGAAATGTTATTAAATTAGATAGAAAATTGGCTGGAGAGTATGAAGCAGAGATTAGTAATAAATGCAGTTAGATCTGACTGGATCACAGTTTGTGCCTCAGGGATCTGTGCTGGATCCTCTGCTGTTTGTGATTTATATTAATGATACTGATTTTGGAATGACTAAACAAAATTTTGAAATTTACAGCTGACATTAAGATTTTTGGGGTAGCTAACTGTATCAAAGATACTGCAGACTTGCAGGGAGATTTATATTATTTGATGCATTGGGCCATTACGTGGCAGATGATGTTTAACTATCTAAAATGTAAGGTAATGCATGTAGGTTTTACAATTTAAATGGGAATGCAATAAATACTGTGGTTGAAGAAAAAGATCTTGGTGTTGTGATTGAAAAATCGTTTAAGTCATTTAAACATTGTATTGTAGCTAGCAATAGGGTTTTGGGTAGCATCTATAGAAATATTGAATAAAAGACAAGTTATATTATTGTTTTACTGTATACATCACATTTAGAGTACTGTGTACAGTTTTGGGCTCCCTTCCTCAGAAGGACATTGAATTGTTGGAGAAGGTTCAGAGAAGAGCCACTTGGATGATACCTGGGATATAGTGGGATTGTCCTATGAGGAGAGACTAAAATATCTAATCTTGTTTTCTCTGGAGAGGAGAAGGGTCAGAAGGGATTTGATTGAGGTGTTTAAGATCATTAAGGGTATTGATAATATAGACCCATCAAACTTTTTGTGTTTAGCAGTGAAAACAATAGGACAAGGAGTCATAAATTCAAATTTTGGAAGCGTAGGAGTCGTCTTCAGTTTAGACAGTATTACTTTTCAAACAGGGTGGTTGGATTTTGGAATGAGTTGCCTTCAAGGTTGGTATAGTCAGGAAATTTAACTGGATGAATACATGAGTAGTAAGGAGTGGTTATAGTTGGGAGCTGGAAGGGACATCCTTGATGGGCTAACAAGCCCCTTTTCGTCACTTTAAGATTTTATGAATTTATAATATATTTTTAATATGTGTTCATTTAAATGGTTTTTCTTTTAACTACGCGAGGACTGTTTGTGGAAAGGTAACTGGTCAATAGCATTCACTACAACTCTTGAGCAGCTCTTGTCTGACCGAATAGTTGGATTTGACTTTTACAACCCATACACGTCACCAATGTGCGGAGCGCAGTTTTGCGGCAACGGGACACGAACTCGGCACGCTGACCACCTGGTCACTCCCGGTCCTAACCTGATATAATTACGAAAAAGTGTTAAGTAATCGGGATTATTTTCACTGAAAAAAAAAAGTTATTGCTTTCCTGTTACGAAACTAATGTAAATTTTTAAGGACTAGTGATAGAATAGAAACATCCGCTGCTTGATTAGATGTAATCATATAACGCTTGGGCCTGGCGTAGCATAACGATTACAGTCTTTGAGGATTCGTGTTTCATGAACCGTTGACGCAATAAATGTAGTCCGTATTCTTGGGCCGTGGATATGCTATAAGACTGACAGTCAAATCCCACAATTTGATCAGAAAAAAAAGTAGCCCGAGAGTGGTCAATGTCTGTTTTGTTTTGAATTTCGCGAAAAGCTACACGAGGACTACCTGTGTTAGCCGCCCCAAATTTAACAGTAATAGATCAGAGGGAAGGCAACTATTTACCACCGTTGCATTATAACGCCTCCACGGCTGAAAGGGCGAGCATGTTTGGTATGACGGGTATTCGAACCCGCGACCTTCAGATTGCGAGTCGAGCGCCCTGACCACCAGGCCTGAGTTGGCTTTCTATTCGGTATATCAATTCCAAGTTAGGGACTTCTTTGCCCTTTTATAGCTTTTAACGAATTTCTGGAACAAAAGTACACAACTTAGTATTTATAATATTTTAAGTTTCCGGTAGGGGGCGCTGTATTGAATTCTTGTATCGAATTATCTCTTACCTTTGTTTGGTGGTTATTGTATGGAACTTCAACTTGTTTTTATCAAAAATGTCTGTCTGCGCTCTGCCCACCGTGGAGAATAATTGATCTACAGATCGGGAACTAAAATAAACTCCATTGGAACTTTTATCTACAGTTTTTGTTTATAAACTTTTATATCTGTATTACCGTAGAAACATCGGTTATATTTCATTGGACTGAGCGCGGCCCAGTTGTTAGCGTGCCAGAGTGTGGATTTGCAGCGGGCCCAGTGTTCGCGTCACGTTACTGCAAATAGAAAATCACGCTCCGCTCTTTGAGACCGTAGATGCGTTATAAGGATGGCAGTCAAATTCGACTATTCGGTCAGACTAGAGTAGTCCAAGAGTTGTCAGTTAGTGCCGTTGACTAGCTGCCTTCCCTCTGGTGTGTCAGCTCAAAATTAGGGATGCCCTGAGTAGCTTTGCGCGAATATCCGAAAACAAACAAATAAACATATCATTTCATTTCTATCCTTCTGTCTCCTCTTAAGAAATGTTTCGATGGAGATTAATCCGTAATATAATTTACAAACCTAATAACTAACTGTTTATTTGTTTGTTTGTAATTAAGCACGAAGCTACACAATGGGCTATCTGTGCTCAGCCAACCACGGGTATCGAAACCCGCATTCTATCGTTGTAAGTCCGCAGACATACCGCTGTGCCACTGGGGGGGGGCATAACTAACTGTTTGGTTTGTTTGTAATTAACCACAAAGCTACACAATGGGCTATCTGTGCTCAGCCAACCACGGGTATCGAAACCCGCATTCTATCGTTGTAAGTCCGCAGACATACCGCTGTGCCACTAAGGGGGGGGGGCATAACTGACTGTTTGTTTGTAAAAAAGTATTATTATTTTAAGAGCATTTTGTATCTGCCAGCTATAGAAAAGTTGTATTGAGTCAAACAAAGCCAATTAATCATTTGCAAGCAACTGAGCTTGTTAGACGTCTGTTTTTGTTCTGGTTCACTAAAGTGACTTTGGGTTCAATTACTTTTTCGTTAGTAACCTGTTGTAAAATCGTAAATATTCTAGTCTTCATTTATCATTCAGACAGCAAGTGATCTGATAATTAGCAGGAGACTGAATTATTCAGAATTGTTGTCTCCAGTTGCGGTACGTGCTGAAAGAAATCCGCGGAAACACTAGCGCCTCCACGTAGCGCAGATCGCACGCAATCTTGTAGTTAGAAGACATAATGGTTTGGTCGTTCCACGTGCTCTTAACGTTGGGGTGAGATTTGTGAATATATATATATATGGCCATTCCTAACAACAACAACAAAAGATAACCATTAAAGTACTACATCGATATATATAGCCATTCCTAACAACAACAACAAAAGATAACCATTAAAGTACTACATCGATATATATATATATGTTTTTTTTTAAATTAACGAATAAATAATGTCGAAATTCATAACGAAAGTATCGAACTCCGATAATTTGTGAGTGGAACTTATACTTGGCCTAAAATCATTAAACTCTCAAACTATCCCTTTGTTTTATATTTTAAATGATTTTGAGCATAAGAGTATCAGAAAGTATAATCACAGTTATGACTTGCAGTGCTTAAATAGTTGAAAAAACCACTTATAGATGGCACTATACAGTTGTTTTTGTTTTTCTTATGAAAATGTAGTTAGAGAGTAATTATAATTAATATTCCGATGAGAGCAAGCTACCTACTTAGAACAAAACTCAAATTCAACCTGGTAATGCGTGTAGCCAATTAAATATATTTTAATTATGTTATTACTCATAAACAGTGGAAGGTAATGTTTCATCAGTTCGGTTAACGAAAGTTTCGGCCGTAATCCTAATAATGTCTGACGACGTTCGGACAATTAGATTAATCCTAAATACATATATTAAGCTAACAATGTAAAACAATCTCTATAATAAAAGTATAATAATAAAAAATAAAATTACAAAGTAATAAAATTAGGTACATTTAACATTCAGTGAAAATAACAATACAAAAGCAGTGTACCTTATTTATGAAACATACAAGCACTAGCTGTTCGTTTCATGTACTGTTGCAGTAGACTAAAAAAAAGTGTTTCATATATATATTTAATAAGCTACGCCTATTTATTTACATTATAGAAACTATATATACCCAGAAATCTATATAAATATACGTGTATCTGTTATTTATACGTTCCACATTTCTTGATTAATCAGTACCAAACTTGACACAGTGATGACGCGAAGAAGGTCATGAGGGGAGGGGGAATTGGACCCCCCATCTAATTTCATATCTAATTTCGAAAAACTACCAGATCAGCACAACTTGGCACAGTGATACAGCATGACATGAGGAAGTTCATATGTCTGGGGGGGGGGGTTGAACCCCCATCTGATTTCGAAAAACTACCAGATCAGCACAACTTGACACAGTGATACAGAATGAAATGAGGAAGTTAATGAGGGGGGTTGACCCCATCTAATTTCGGAAAAAACTACCCGATCTGCACAACTTGACACAGTGATAAAGGATGACATGAGGGGAGTGGACCCTCCCGTCCAATTTCATGTTGATAGAATTCTTGAAAACAGCATGTCTTTCTTTTCTGTGTTGGTAGCTTTATGTATTTTTATTGCACTTTTAATGTTTATCGTGTTAAAAAATAGAAGCACAATTTCTTATCTTTTGTTACAAACGAATTTTTATTTCACCAGTCCAACCAGCTAGCAAATTTATATAAAAAAATTGCATTCTCTCTGAGGTAATGAATTTCTATAGAACTTTCTATATATGGCTTTTCTAAAAGATTTTGTTTGTTTGTAGTTAAGCGTAAAGCAACATACTGGGCTATCTGTGGTGTACCCACCACGGGTATCGAAACCCAGTTTAAGCCTTCCGACTTCCTGTCGTGCCACTGGGAGGGGGGAGAGCGTTTACTAAAATAGCTCCGTATTCCTAATGTAGTTTCTAAGCAGCTATAAGTTGGCACTTTATTAAAGGTACGAATAGCAAAACATGAAAACATTGTTAAATTAACGAATTGAAAAGACCTTTTGTGACACTGTTAATATCAGAGTAAAAAAAACACATGCCAGAAATAAATAGATTATTAACATAGTTATTACGTATGGTGATTAGACGACTTTTAGATATACTTCTATAAACCTTCGTCACTTTTTTTCGCTACTAATGTGATATTTTTCCAACATATAAACATTTCCTTTCCTCGAATGTGAACTTAAAACCTCTAGCGTACTAGAGAAGTCCTCTACCAACTGACCTTTCCTTAGTAAGGCTTTTTTTAAACTATCTTAACTATTCATCTTTATCATTTTTTTCACGATATATTTCAAACTTCGAATTTGATTCTAAGACCTCTCACACAGTAGGCGAGTGCTCTACCGACTGAGCTAAAGCACTCGATCTCACTATTAAGGAACTTTTTTTTTTAACAACTCAAACTCTTACGCCAGTTCACGAGGCAGTTTTCGCATTTTAACAAATTTCAGCACACACAAAAACCGAAGAAAAGCTTGTGTTAATTGTTCATATATCTTGTATAATTACACTTCGAAAAATAGTCTGTCTACAAATATTTCAAATTTGTATTTTAATTTTCGTAATTCTCTTTCACGTGTGAGTTACATATTTTTAGTTGTTTACTGTTGGATGCTGGGCAACGTACAAGAAAACTTGACTTTTCTACTTGACTTTCTATAGGGAAAAACGTAATTAATATACGATCGTTGAAACAGATTTTTGAAATATATGTTGTAACGTAAAAGGAAACGTGACTTTTCTACTTGACTTTGTGTACGGAAAAACGTAATTAATGTACGATCGTTGAAACAAATTTTTGAAACATATGTTGCAAGGTACAAGGAAACGTGACTTTTCTACTTGACTTTGTATAGGGAAAAACGTAAATAATATACGATCGTTGAAACATATGTTACATTTTCTTCACAAACTTACATCGTTGAAACACATTTTTGAAACATATGTTGCAACGTACAAGGAAATGTAACTTTTCTACTTGACTTTGTATAGGGAAAAACGTAAATAATATACGATCGTTGAAACATATGTTACATTTTTTTCACAAACTTACATCGTTGAAACACATTTTTGAAACATATGTTGCAAGGTACAAGGAAACATGACTTTTCTACTTGACTTTGTATATGGAAAAACGCAATTAATATACGATCGTTGAAACATATTTTACATTTTGTTCACAAACTTACATCTACTTAAAGTACTTTTTTCGTAAATTTTGTATTATTGGTATTTGAATTTAATTTTTTAATTTCAGATGGTACTCCTTTGTCTCTCGAGGAGGTGTGGGATCAGGTTCCTCGGTGTTATCAAGAACAGTTAAAACAACAACGCTGGTCTATTCTAACTCAACAGGTAAATTTCTAACAGCTTTGGTTGAAATTTAAGTCATATGAGAAAACTAAATAAAATATAATTGATCATAATTATAATAGCAATAAATAAATTCTATGGCTTGAATGAAATTTTGTACATTGCTCTTAGGGCCTGGCGTAGGCTTATGGTAAGCGTGCATAGTGTAAATCCTTGAATTCATGGTTCACGGCCCATTTCCGCAAAACTTGCCCCTCACTTTGGGGCCCTAAGTGCAATAAAAGAGTGTCGATCAAATCTCACTATTCGATCAGAGTAGTTATCGGAAAACCCGCGAAACAGGCCACCAGAGGGCGAAACAAGTATGTCGACCTCAGAGGAGGCGTAGAAATAATGACACCAGAGACGTTAACGTCATAGTTTCGCGAAGTATCACCAGAGAGCACGTTACAAGGACAGGGAAAAGACAGAGAGAGCATTGATAGGCGTGACGTCATAGTTCCACGAAGTAGAATCAGAGGAGGGGTAGAGATAACGATACCAGAGACGATAACGTCATAGTTTCGCGAAGTATCACCAGAGAGCACGTTACAAGGACAGGAAAAAGACAGAGAGAGCATTGATAGGCGTGACGTCATAGTACCACAAAGTAGAACCAAAGAGCGTGGCTACCTTGGGGAGTGGTGATATCATAGTTCGATACCAGAGGGCCTGTTACTGTAGACGGATTGTGTTACTAAGGTATATAGACAGATGATGTTATTAAGGTTCTATAGGCGGACGGTGTTACCAAAGTTGTGTAGACAGACGGTGTTACTAAGGTTTTATACAGAGGGCCTGCTACTATAGACAGACGGTATTACTAATGTTTATAAGAGGATGCTGATATTTAGGTTCTATATGTGAATACCGTTACTATAATCGGATGTTGTTACTAAGGTTTCTATAGGCGTTACTAGGTGGAGTATGTATGTTTTACATAGGTGGATAGTTCCATAAGATTGCATATAGATTTCAACTTATGTCTATGTTTATTGCATGCATTTTACAAAGGTGGATGAGTTTAACATGATTGTGTTACAAAGTTTATATAGGCGGATATTGTTACTATGTGTGTGTCTTACAAAGGCAGACAGTGTTTAACAGGATTGCACACATACATTTAATTGTGTTTGTTTTACAAAGGTGTTTCTATACTTCCGTAAGACAACATGAAGGGTTCAACATGTCTCATCTTATTTTTCATTTACTTGTGTTTCTACTGAGTTGGAATAAACAAATAGTGATATGGACATAACTTGTATGAAAACGAATCCAATAAAATGATGCTTGTAGTATATTAGTGTACCAGAAGTTTTGTTAAGTATGCATGGTACTTGTTAATTTTACTTACATTATAGTATATTGGGCTATGAAGAAACTTGAGTTTTATATACGAAAATCAAAGAATTGTATAATTAATGTTATTGAAACATTATTTCAAAATCTTTGTGAGGGGAAACATCATTGAAATGATAACTTGATTTATAACTAAAGGTCCTTTAATGTTATGATCATTTGTAAAAAATGTATTTGGAAAACTAATAAATTTAAATGTACATAAAGTTTTGAATAATGCAGAAATAGAATTTCTGATTTGTATATAGAAAAGTAAATAAGCATCCTTTTCAGGACATTAAAAGTATGTAAAGTAAATTATTGTTTATAATAACTGCCTCATTCAAATGATGGACAATATGTATAAACTAATGTATGTTATAATAGTTGTATTGTTCAACTTGTGAAAATAAAACAGCAGATGTGTTAAAATCCTGAAGAACTATAAAAACATTGTGTGCCAAAAGTAACACTATCTTTACTAAGACCTTGTAACGATAACATCTTCGGCCCTTAGAAACACTGTAAAAAATATGTAAGTGAAAACAGTCATAATTAAATCTATACGTTTAAAATCAAATTGCCCCTAGTAAAACAATGCATACATAGAAAGTTAATAATAGCATCCACCTTTGTAAGGCATGCACTATATACCTAGTAAGACCATCTGCCTAAAGAAACATAACAAACTAGTGAAAGTGCAAGCTTTTATGTTAAATTATTGCATATTTAAATAAGCATCTTTATCATGACAATATTAATAACAAATTATGTATGATAAATCTTTTCAGTAGTAAGTTAAATTTATTAGTAACACTATCATTCTATAGAAACACAAGTGAATGAAAATTAATATTTCAACATGTTGAAATCTTCATGCTGTCCTATAGAAGTATAGAAACACCTCTATAAAACATATAATTAAATGTATGTGTGTAATCCTGTTAAACATTGTCTGCCTTTGTAAGACACACACACACACCTAGTAACAACATATGCCTATAAAACCCATGTAACACAATCCCGTTAAACACATTCATCTTTGTAAAACATACACAATAAATACATAAAGATAAGTTGAAATTTGTATGCAATCCTATGGGACTATTCACCTAGTAATGCCTATACAAACATCAGTAACAACACCCGCCTATAGTAACAGCATGCACATAAAGAACCTATACATAAGTTTCCTCTTATAAAAGTTAGAAATACTGTTCGCCTATAGCAGCAGGCCATCTGTGTAAAACCTTAGTAACACCGTCTAGCTACAGAATTTCGGTAATGCCGTCCGCCTATAGAACCTTAATAACACCACCCGCCTATAGTAACAGGCCCTCTGGTATCAAACTGTGATATCACCTCTTCCTATGGTAGCCGCGCCCACAGGTTCCATTTCGTGAAACTGTGACGTCATCATCTCTACCCGCGTCTGAGGTCGATACACTTGTGTCGCCTTTTGGCGACGGGTTGCGCGGGTATCTTGATAACTACTGATCAGATAGAAACTCCAGTGCTGGCGGTGGGTGCTGTTGACTAGTTGCCTTTCTTCTACTCAGACAGTTCAAAATTATGGAAGGTTAGGAGGAGATATCACTTGTATAGCTTTCTACGAAATTTTCAAATTAACAAGTATTGTTTTTGTTAAGACTTCAATATAACTTTCACTTCGAGTACATTTAGAGGCTAAAGCATCAGCTATTTCATGAAGATTTTGTGTATTTACTTTCTTACTTTGTTACGTATTAAAAGTTTGAAATATATGTTAGCAAAAAATTATGAAATCGTCAATAAATTAATGTCGCTTTGTTTTAGATGACAAAATCAGAACAACTTATATATCAAAATAAAACACTTATTAAATGAAATAGTCTCCATTCTTATCGATGATGCTTTTCCATCTTACAGTCTGGTTGTTAATGCCCTGATTAAAGAAATCACTTGACTTTGAAGCAAAAACATGTCGATGTCCTCTTTAACACCTTCCACATTTGCATACGTTTTTCCATTAAGATGTTATTGCAGTGAACGAAAAAGATGGTAATCTGATGGTGCCATATCTGGAGAATATGGTAATGGTGGTGGTG